TGTCTTTTAAAACTGTGCCTTAAGATCCATACATTTCGTTCCATTATCTTGTGGTCTGTCCAGCTTTTTTTGAACACATTCAGCATAAACATGATCTGGAAGCATTCTGTAGTTATAACCAGATAGTTTTTTTTATTATTATTTTATGGTATAGGATTTTGCTTTATTTGATGCACCTGTGTTTGTTTTACGATATGTAATCCACATTAGGCGATTTTGTAATTATTATTTAGACCTAACTAATATTTATTATTATATAAAATGTGTTGTTTATTAAATAATTATAATATAATTATTCTTATTTTTCTAAATAATTATAAGCCAGATTTAAACTTCTCTTATCTAACTTTTTTGTTCTGAACTTATCTATAGAAGGAGACAGTGTATGCTAAACCATTTGTGGCACTGCTGAGAACTCTGGTTTAACAAAAAATAAATCTATGGCTTAATTTATTTAAAATACATTTATTTTATACCAAGTATACTTCGAATCCTTTAACATACTTATAGACATATCACTTAAGACTTACTGATATAAAACTATAATACAACTTTACTTGGATTGTTTCTTTATTGCACAATGCACATTTCTAAATAGCATGCCTAAAATGTGTTTTAATAACACTATTAATAAGGATTGTATGATCTCTGTATAATATCAGTCTTTAAATGCAAGATATTTAAAGTGTACCTGAAGTATACTTGCAATAATTCCACTTCAGCACAATCAAGTATACTTACATGTAAGTTTATCTATATAGCAGACTTTAAGTATACCAGTTTAGTATACCAAAAGTACAATTGCAGGGTATTTTTATTAAACACATAAATATGTAAATTTATTTGTAGTATACTTGGGACAAAATAAATGTATTTAAAATACATTTTAATATTAATTTTTTCCACTAGAGAATGCAATGCAAACCTTTTTATACACTTTAAATTGTTTTTGCATACATACCAGAACGAAATATGCAATTGAGCTTGCATACATTGTAAAAAAAAAAAAACTATTTTTGTAGGTGTGAATAAAACACATATTATTGGGTTACGTTTTACAAGTAAATACAATTTCAGTCTTATAAATTTGACATTTACTTCAATGTGTTACTTGCGGTTTCTTTGTAATTATTTGTGAAATTTACTAGCAATTTCTGAATGAAATAGTTTCAAAGCCAGTGTTTCATTTTTTTCCCAATGTAGCTAAAAGTGCTTGCTTTATAGTATTTTGGTTCTCTTTATGGAAGATTTTTGGTTTGACCATGTACAGTAGTGGAAGGCTGAATATGGTTTAAGTATTTGCATTTTGCTTTGGAGATATCACTGCTTGGTGACCAAATATGGGAAACTGGCTCCTCTGGCTGAGATTGACCTGAGACCACGTTGCCACGCCAAGGTGGAGGTACGCTATGAAGACAAAGTACAGCAGGTGAGCATCCGTTTGGACAAGACTGTCGGAGAGCTGAAGAAGCAGCTGAGGACTGTTGTGCAGCTCCCCATCAGCAACATGCGCATTTACTACATCGACAAGGGTTCTGCCTTCGGCCCTGATGAGTTGAAGTACAGCACACGGGCCTTGCACTCCTACAGCATTCAAGATGGGGATGAGATCTTGGTAGTTCCCAAAACAAAATAACTGTCTTTCTCCAGGATCACAAAAAGCTATATTTAAATAACCAAATCAACTTTAAACTAGCACCATCTAAGCTCCATAGAGTGAATGGGACTGTCTTTTCAGGGAAAAACTGCTTTGCTTGGGCTTCAGTTGTATTCAATAGGCACATAGCGTGTCATGTCACTACACAGTCATAAGAGACACCATGACTCGTGTGCAACTTTAGTTTTGTTGCTGTTGTTAAGGGTTTACTTTTTGTTTTCAGACTTCACGAGCACCCCTGTATTTTCAAAAATAAAGCACAGCGGAGGGCTCTGGCAGCCCAGGATGTGCAGATTTTAAGACAATCACCCATAGCTGAAAGAAAATGTTGCACTGCACTGATGTCTTAAAGAAGAAATCATGGATCTCCATTGCCTGCTGATGTGTGTCGTATGCTGTCAGCCATTATTTACATGCAAAAGACTCTCAGGCCTTATATATTGTATGGGCAGTGCTAGATTCACATTATATTATATATTGTATGGGCAGTGCTAGATTCACATAGAACATCTTATTCACAAATGTTTTTAAATGTCCAGTTCATTTTTATAATCTGATTGAAGAATCCAGAAGGGAATTGCGGAGTCACGTGCATGTGCTATTTAATTGTGGTATTTTTTGTTTTATTCCTTTTAAAAATATTTATATTAGTACTTTCTCTGCTGCTTTGGAAGTAGGCCCTCAAACGTGTACCTCCAATACAAAGCATATGCTTGGAAAAATGCTTATCCTCATTTCACTTGTATCCATATTATAGTGTGTTGATTTGGATATTTTACTCTCAGAATAATGAGATGTGTTAAGTGACAGAACATAAGTCCTCCCCAAAGATTGTTATGTTGATTGGTGTTATTTGTTCAAAACAAAACAAAACAAATTAGTAGCAAAACAATCATAGTGTACGACTGTATCCAGCCAGTATAATATGAAATTAATTTTAAAAATTAAATTAAGGGAATAGTTCACCCAAAAATGAGAATTTGCTGAAAACTTACTCACCCTCAGGCCATCCGAGATATAGAATAGTTTGTTTGTTCATCAGGACAGATTTAACATTAAATCACTTGCTCACCAATGGATCCTCTGCAGTAAATGGGTGCCGTTAGAATGAGAGTCCAAACAGCTGAAAGAAATATCACAATAATCCACAAGTAATCAGCAGCATGTTTGTATGAAACAGATACATCCTAAAAACGAAATGGCCTTCTCCAGTGAAAAAGTAATCTCGTCTGTATCAAGAGAGATATATTTCTCTCCTGATTCAGATGAGATTATTTTTTAAGCACCATTTACAAGTAAAAAAAGAGTCCAAAAAAGCTTTGAACTAATATGTCAGTGTATTTTGATGTGAGAGGACAACAGGGAATGGACGACTTGAGTCATGTGGATTACTGTTTGAACTCTCATTATGGCGGCACCCATTCACTACAGAAGATCCATTGGTGAGCAGGTGATGGGATGCAAAATTTCTGTTGATCCAAACCTATGTGACTTTATTTATTTTTGTATTATATTTTTTTAATATTTGGAAGCCGATTACAAAAACAGTTTGGTTACCAACATTC